GGCTTCCCCGATTCAGCTGCTGGTCAGTTTCAGCAGCAGCTGAATGGGGGAAGCCTGTCCGGTTGCCCCAGCACTTCCGGGTTCCTGATGGTGCCGGACCATCAGGAGTCCCGGAGCATTGGATGCTGGACTAATGGAGTTTTACTGTATTCATGTTGCGTATATTCTATTATGTTTTGGTGCCACCATCGAGATATGAACTATTAATAATAATGTTCTGTTGAGTTTTTTAAATTCCTAAATTAAAAAGAACCTGATTTGACTATGAAGGGCCAGATGACAAGCAAGGCACTCTGGATTAAGCCCAAACTGAAACTTTTTAATAGGGGAGAACAGGAGGTTAACAATGAATATATTAAACATCTCACAAATATGATTACAGTGATGATTCTTGGAACCAATAACAGTACCATGCCATCTCCAGCATTGCTAACTCTCAGAATTTTACTGCCATGCTAGTGATTTGGGGACTTTATCTGTCTTATAAAAAGATAATGAAAGGTGCCAATTCAGGAATTTTCCATTTAACAATGGCCACCCTCTCCAATTTCTGTCAAGGGCGCTAAAGCCACCATGATGTCCCCCACATCCCTGCAGTCTGTCAACACGTGGAAGTGACGCTGCCCTTACTAAAGAAGGCTGCTCCCTCTTACTATGTTCAATGGAATAAGCCTAAGGAAATGGCTGCTATTCTGTGGTTCGCAGGGTGGACAGAACACAGGGACAAGAAGGGGCAGCAGAGACATTGTGAAAGGTGGATGGGAAGAATGAGGAGGAGCAAGATGCAGGTTTAGGGTGCAGGGGAGTAGAAAGGGGCCTCCCAAGCAGAGGGAGGCAGGAAAGTGGGGGAGGGAAGTGCTACCCAATTTGGGGCAGAGAAGTGTTGTGTGGGGGAGGGGTGCCAGGGATGTGCTGCTTCTTGCGAAAGCCTGGATCAGGAACGCTCAGACGTTATTGCACCATGATCCCTTTCTGACAACAAAAATTGCTTCACAACCACAGGAGGGAGGGAGTGAAACCTGAGCTCACTAGAGCCCCATTGCTAGGGTTACCAGGTAGACCTCCCCAAAATACAGGACACACTTGATCGTGGGTGGGGGAGGAACTGACCGGGAGAGGGGAGGGGCTGGCCAGAAGGAAGGGGGTCGGGGGCTGCGGGACTGGCTGGGAGGAAGGGGGCCGGGAGGTGGGGCTGGC